GCAGGAAGAGGAGCAGAAGGTGGGGGCGCGGGCTGACGCCGAGAGTGGGGGCTGCGCTGCGAGGGGAAGTCAAGGGCCGCGTCGGCCGCGCTGACCCGGACAGGAGGTGAGTCTGTAAGGCAGGCGCCCTGGGCTGACCCCAGGAGGAGTGGAAGGACCCTCGTGGAGCGGGGAAGCCTTCAAGGGGGAAGAGGACACTAATGGGGGCCAGGACCCTCGTGGGGAAGTGGACCCTCCAGAGGAGAGGACTGTGGTGTGGTCAGCACTCGTGGAGGCAGTTCCCTCGCGGGGGAGTGTCCCTGGGGACGGAGGAACTGAGAGCCAGGAGGGAGGGCCATGTGGACCTCGTGGGGGCAAGGCCCAAGGGGGCGGAGCTTGGGGGGGCCCTGCCTTGGTGGTGAAGCTCTTGCTGGGGGGGCTGGGGGTACGCTGATGGAGCTGGCACTCGGGTGTCTGGTTCAGTCCCTTAGAGAGATGTTCGCAGACTTGAGGCGCCCGTGGAGCAATTGTTTCGCACTGTCAAACACAGCTCTCTGTGTGCCCAGCTAATTAACCAGGTCTCGGTCAGTGCTCTGCCCCTCCAGGACCCTCAGCCCCTCACTCACTCCTTCAAAGCCACCCAGCACCAGCGCTGGAGACTCCCCCTGGAATGTCAGCATGTGTGATGGACAGAGCTGCGGCCTCCCTGGACTCTGGAGTACCCCCTCGCCCTCCCCTCCCCCTGTGACTCAGTTTCTGTCCAGGCATCTGGGTGAGGTAGCACCTTCTCAACCATTGGCCTGGCTTTAAGGTCACTTCCTCTGTGCCCAGGACCCGTGAGGGACACAAGCCCATCTCAGACCTCAGTCACAAAGGAAGCAGTTACTGGTCAGGTGCCTCATCGCGTCCTTCCATTCACCTGGGCAGACCCCAGCCTAGACCACACCCCCCCCCCCAGACCCGTGGGCCCGAGGGGGTGCCAAACCAGCAAAGCTCAGCCCACTTGTCCCTGGGCAGGAGGCTGAGCTTCTGCACAGATTCAAGGTTCGGAGTGGCTGTGGGCACCCCACTGCAGGTGAACACCCCCCACCACCAGGGACACCCCCCACCACCATAGACAGCGTGCCCTTGGCACTCATTCCAGCATTCCAGGCCTGGAGTGGTTTCACGTCAGCCCCCTGCTGGGACCCACTGACTTACCCAGAAGCCCCCTTGAATGGCGTGGGCATGGGGCTGAGTACCAAGGACAGACTCAAGCCCGAGACAAGCCTGCCAGTTGAGTGAGTGGGCCCTGCTCTGGCACCTGCTATCTTAGGAAGGCGTCTAGGGTGCCCTAACGTCACCTGTTGTGCCTACCCCTGTCCTGGGGCAGAGGGGACAACACATCAACACACACACACACACACACACACCCAGGAATGGAATCAGCCACCTGCCTCTGGCCCAGGAAGCATTGCAGACACCCAACCCTGTGGCGAACCTGAGGTCAGCTTCAGACAGGTTTGTCAGCTTGGCCCACCCCACCTGAGGCCTCAGCCC